GGATCACGAAGGAGGGTTCCCACTACGAGCTCGATTTATCAATGTATTTGAAAGTATAGGCTTTTCGGTCATGAACGTCAAGGCAGTTCACGCATGGTTTCACAACCCAATGCAATTCTGGCAGAATCAACTCAATTTTGCCATGTGGTGCGCGGCGACGACGGGTGCGTCATGACCTTGAACGCCATTCTCGTCGTCTGTCCATCAGTCTGTGTTCTATTTCCACGTGTATTACCAGATCAGACGCATCCTGAAAGAGATCAGTGCCCTGCTTCTGCCAGAACAAGGATTGGGATGCATCAGAACAATCTGTACGATCGGCGGGCTTACGAACGGATTTGTGGTGATTTCAAAATCGGTCGAACACGGATTGGCGTATACTGGGTACAAACCACGGGTTGGGTATTCCCTACAGTGATGGAATTCCCGTGAAAGAAGCCAAGCGCTGCTTTGTTAAAACAAGATATCCTACTAACACCGGCCTATGTTTGGAAAGTAATGAATGGAGAGATGATCGCGCAAGAACATTACAGGTCAAGGTAGAATTCCTTTTACCATCCAAAAGTCGAGCAGCCCCAATACGTTAAAGACGATTGGAAAACATATATGCTGGACATGTCGAAAGGGTTCACTCGCGCAGGCACCATACGGTTGAACGATTTAATTCAAACGTCACGTGTGGCCGCTGCTGGGCACTCAGTCGCAAACGCATATCGAAATCGTGGGTCAAGGTATGGCCTATGATGCGCAGCAACAGTTCGTGTCGTACGTCGAGGACGCCATCGACAGACCGGTGGATTTACCGAGTGCCATCAAGCGTTACCAGGACACATTGGAAGACGCCCGGTCGAAAGTCGACTACGTGTTCAATGTGGGACTGTACATGGCTCAAAAGTTGGGCATCAACCCCGATGTCAATGTGAGTCGAGTCCCACCACCCATGCATACCAGCGAAACGGGGATCGTGCCGCCGACACCAGCACCAGAGCCCAGCGTTTAACCATCACCACCACGCCTATCACCATGCGAGGGAGGCCAAACATCAGCAACACCTCAATCGCATAATCGCCCTTGGTCGGCAGGATCCTGTTGGCCAACATGGTTATCCACATTCAACACTTTCGGTTGAGAGTTAGGTGCGCAACTGGCTGATCTGGATTGAAGCTCGTCTGGGAAGCAGGACGCCACTTCAAATCGGGTCGATCTTTTCTCTCTCAATCTTTCCGCGGTATGACGTCGGCTGAACTCGTCCTCTGTCGTACGTCTCGCAAATCAGCTCGACTGACTGCACCCGCCAAGGCATCGAGCTCAGATTTCGCTTCTCGTAAAGCCTTGTCGAACTTCCTGCTTATTTTTGTCAATAGCTGGTTATATTCAATTTGTCGCAGATAAAGTCGGCACCGTGGCAACTGGCCAGTGTGAACAAAGCGAGAGGTTTTTATACGGGAGTGCATGATATCAATGCCCGGAGCATCTTTCACTCACACAGTGTCCGTTTATGATCGAGTTTGAACTCGGAAGGATCGCGATAAAGAGGAGCCATATTTTGTTTTTTTGCTCCAGGGCATCGTAATGATCATCAACAGTCGTTTTTAGCAGATCGTCGATGTTTCCTTGTGCAAACGAGGTCTCCTCATTGTCGAGCAACTGGGTTCTATCATCCCCCAAATCGTCCATAGGAATATCATCGGCCTTGATTATTTATTTATTGAACATATATTATATATTTTTAAAATAAAAAATAGCATCGCAATACGGACGAAAACTCGATCCTTTCCGAAAATTGAGAGAACCTTTGGCGGTCAAAGCTGTGCGTCAATCCGTGATGATCACCAACAATGAACACTTGATGAACACTTGATGAAAAACAAATGATGTTGGTGCGCTTTCCCAACCTCGGCGAGAACGACATCATCTTTCCAGGGAAGGCTCGCCTGTCAGTTTTGAATCCGACGATGATAAGCGAGAAGTCGTGGGGAACCTGTGTTGCGCCATCGTGAATAAAACGACCATTAAAATCAGCGGAAACGAAAGTTTGAGCGTCAACGACAGCAGCGTGTTCAGCAGCTACACGGACCTCTGGAGAACCGCGTGCGAACGGGAAAACATGAAGTACCAGGGGATTTGACTGGCCGAGTGTCCGTCGACTTGGATGCGCTTGGGGTAAGGTTTCGACCAAGCCAACTCACCGCGATGGCGAAAAAACATGTGGCCATTGCCGAGGCGTTCCGGAACCGATTTTGCATCCCGCTCGACTTCGAGATGCTGGAGGGTCACATGCCATTTACCAAGCCGCACTGGGCGACAGGTTGGAGTATGAACTCACATTTAACGATTACACTCACGTGATCGTGACGGAGAGCAGCGAGGAGGGTCACTACACCATCGACAATATTTTGCTGGAGTTCGACAAGGTGAAGAATCCGGAATTGGCTCAACAGATTTGCCACCAGTATTCGGGCATGTTAGCCATCCTGTACGATCGCGTGCTGCATCAATGGAAGATCGTCGCGAACAAAGTGACACACTGTGGAATATCAATCTAAACGATACCCTCGCGATTGATGAAGGGCATTTTGATCCTGTCGGTTGAAGAATTTCGCGGAAATCAACGTGATCGTCAAGGACCTCGGTCACGCCTCCGTGTATGTAGAAGAGTACCTGACGACCAAGTATGCGCTGTGGCTGGACATGCGATCCACAGACAACGATCGACTGCACGGCAGCGGGCGTCGCATCGAAACGGCAGTGAGGGATCACCATCAAATTGCCAAGAAGGCTCAAACCGCCGGTAAATTAAATTTATATTTGTACGTGATTATGGATTTGCAGCTTAATATACAAGATGGAAGATTCGTGTAAGCCATCTATTGATATCAAACTGCCCTGGATCCACATAGCGCCATCGTGTGTGTGGTCAGACCGGGGTGTGGTAAAATGGCTTTATTGCTGGACCTGCTGGAAGGATACTACCAGGATGCTTTCAATCACATCGTCATTACTGTCATCACATTGTCATTACCGGCTCAAACCGCCGGTAAAATAAATTATATTTGTTCGTGATTATGGATGTGCAGCTTAATATACAAGATGGAAGATTCGTGTAAGCCATCTATTGATATCAAACTGCCCCTGGATCCACATAGCGCCATCGTGTGTGGTCAGACGGGGTGTGGTAAAATGGCTTTTGTGCTGGACCTGCTGGAAGGATACTACCGGGATGCGTTCGTCCACATCGTCATTACTGTTGAGGCGTTGCGGGTGAGCAAGACGTACACGGAGAGCGTGGGTGATGCCGGATCGGACGTGCACAGGGTGGTTCCTGGAATGCGTCTGCAGGACTGGTTGACAACTTAACGTGTGTATGTGTTGTGAAAGTTCATAAGTAGTAATAGAAGACTTTAGCTGTCTATTTAAGCTGAATCGAAAGTACGACTTTGTTTCTTGGACCACGACTTCACACGAAACTACCTTCTTTTCATTGCCACTTGCCGTCTCCCGAGTTGAAATGTTGTGGAATACTAATTGTCGATATGAGCGAAGACAAGGATCGTCATCAGTCAAACACAGAAACAAAGTGACTCAGGCTGATTTGATCAGGAAAGTCCAACGTGATCCCTGTAGGTATAGGGTTGGTGCCACATGTGACATGCCTTCAAGAATGTCTGCTTACAAAGAGTGATGGATGCAAAGCCAAGACGGTTTACTATGCTCCGTCCCAGAACCCTGCAATGAAGAGGGATAAACTCCTCAGCATGCTTCCACACAACGATCACAAATTGTCCAACTACAGAACCTCGGGGATGGTTATGCGTATGTCATTGATATGAAAAAGAAATAACAGCAAGGATGTGACCTGGAGCTTTTTGTGACTGTGTGCCATTTCTTTGAATCATTGGACCCTTTGTGACATACTTGTTTCCATGCTGACACGCATTAGGAACTGAGCCAATGAAAAAGAAGCTGATTTCCACCGATTTCGCCTGAATCCACTGCAGATAGCTTTTCTGATGAATGTAACCTTTGGGAGTTATCATATTTTGGAAATGTATGCCGACCATTTATTTATGGCCTCGATCAGACACGAGATGACAAAGAAAAGGCAAGAAAAAGGACACGAAGACGAAAGAACGATAACAAGGAACGCAAGAAGAAAATGTAACCACAGATTTGATGTGAAAAATTTCAGTGGGGCTTTGGAATCCTTCTGTGATATTCGAAACTTAACTTCTGGAGTGTAAAAAAAATAGGACGTATACAAACTTTTTGGAAATACACATATCTTATTTTCCTCATTGTTTAATACATACTCATACATGTTGATGGACATGTGTTAAAATGTACTGTTGGCACTTTACTATAATTTACTGTTGGCACGTTAATATAATTACTGTTGGCACGTTAATATAATATACTGTTGGGACGTTAATATAATTTACTCCTGGCACGTTAATATAAGTCCCAGATTTGTGAAATGAGGCAACCCGATTAATAAATAGTCGGTGAAATCACATGATTTAATGTTCTTATTATTACATTTATAAGATCGTGATATAGATTAGGTTGCAAAGCATGTAAGTTAATGTTACATTTGATTTCATCCCATTGAAAAAAAAAAATGTTTAAAACATTGTTTTAATTTTCCGTTTATAATGTGATTCCTCTTTGTTGTGCAATGGCAATATATCCCGTGAAAACAGCTAACCATATTTATACTACTGACTATAGCAATACGACATGGAGTAGAGGTACTTTCTCAATACACTGTTTCTAAAAGTGTGCATGTGCTTGATATTTAAACAAGCAAGCCATACACACACATGAGGCGATATATCGATTTCATGTAGTGTTTAAACATGTCGTGTATACCTGTTTTGACATGGTGTAACGTCCTCGTCGAAGGCCTGAGGTTATCTTAATGCAACGCGATGATTCATCAACGGGTAGCATACAAACAAGTAGGGTCAGACAGGCTATGTAATCTTGTGCATGAAATTTACCACTGAAGTGAACAGCAAAACACTGACATGTTTCAACCTGCATTTCGAATTTTACCAACATCATGTCCATGTGCACATCACAAAAACACCCAAAACAAATAAGAAACAAAATGAAAAGAAACCAACCCCCACCCCAACCCACCCCACCCCAACAAAAACCCAACCCAAAACAAAACACAAAAAACGTGTGTGACTGGCGTGTTTCCACGAACTTGTTAACACGTAGGAATGGAATAATCATTTTTCTGAGTAGATAGCCATGCACTCACATGGTACAATATATCGATGCCAGATGTGTTAAACTATGTCTTAGTTCGTGATTGTGTTTGTGAGATTGGTTTCACATCACTATTAGCATCTTAGTAGAATCTCTGACATGGTGAGTGAGTAAGTATGGTTGTAGGTCGCTTTTAAGCAAAATTACAGCATTATCACTGTGAGGGACACCGGAAATTGGCTTCACATTGTACCCATGTGGGGAATCTTTGACAGAAGACACAAAGAATGGGTACTGATTTGTTCCAGTTTTTGGAATCGAACCCCGAACCCCGAAGGTACCAAAGTACTTCACCAGAAAACGTATCCTTCATTAAACTCGATTACGCGAGTAGTAACTATTTATATGTAGCCTGTTAACAATGCCTGTACGTTGTTAATCACTACCTCGGGGTGTTAGTTTCTGCGACCAAATAATATAGACACATTGAATAGAACTTATTCCGTGACTAAACTCTGTTAGATAGTTGTACGTCTTGCTCACAGTTGGTAGTTCATGTCCGGGTTAGAAATGCTCTTCCGCATCCCTCCTTGTGGTAAGAGGCGACTATCGGGATTTTTGATAACAGAAAAAATGTGTATCTGTTTATGGTGTAAGGGACGTAACTCGATGGTGTTTGAGGACACTGATATCGTGGTACGTTAACTGCACTTAAAAGAATCAAAGGCTAGAAACACAAGTTTAGCCTGAGTACAAGTTCTGGTTGAACGGGATATACATCCGCACACCCAAGACCGCCCCACGTACACTCAGGCACGCACGCATGCTCGCACCCACACACATAATCTATATATATATATATATATATATATATATGTTTGTATTCATATATATATTTGTATATGTAATAAAAGAAATATATAACAGTTAGTTATTACAAACAAATACAGTCGAAGTAATTTTACGGCCGTTTTTTTAAATGGTTTACACATTAAATTCCTCTAGACAGTGTCTATTTAGCCATAACTCGTTCCTGCAACAGTTTGTGAAAAATAACCGATGGCTGGGAAATTTCGATTAAAGATTAGTTGCTACAACCACATCACCCGTACCATATCATAATTTGTAATTTTGTCCCTAAAAAGCAAAAAGTAAACCTTTTGTTTCTGCATTAGATTTTAAAAAGTTTAATACCATGTACAAGTATTCTGTGAGTGCTATCTCCTTCCCGTCTTCTTTCTTCTCCTCTTTGGCAATTGGTTAGGCCACAAGTCGACCTAACACTCACTAAATTTACAAAATCAGAAACTAATGACTTACAAAATAAACAAGAATTATTAATTAAAAAGTAAATATAATACATGTACATATAAATCCTTATTTACCGATGGGTCCATGGATGATCGCAGTGGCTTGTGCCATATATCCTACAAACAAAAAGTATGGTAATGGGCACTGCAAAAGACATGTTGGAACATGGAGTGAAGCAACTGATTCAATATTCGTTGAGCTTGAGTGAAATGAAACATTGTTAAAAACAGCGAAAACAAGGGTGCTGAAACCCACCAACACCATGTTTGATTCAAACGACTGAACACAACAGCCTAGTGCGTGTGAAAGACAGACAGACAGAAGCACGCACGCACGCACGCATGTAATGTATTCCTGGCACTTCAGCCTGTACCATTTCAACACTTGCAACTGAACAGCGATATCCTGGCGCTGTAACTTTAGCTGTGTATTTAAGCTGAATCGAAAGTACACCTTTGTTTCTTGGAACGCAACTTCAAACGACACTACGTTCTTTTCATTGCCACTTACCGTCTCCCCAATTGAAGTGTTGTGGAATACTAATTGACGATATGAGTAGAAAAGAAGAATCGTGATCAAACAGAAACAAGTGACTCAGGCTGATTTGATCAGGAATGTCCAGCATGATCCCTGTAGATATCGAGTAGGAACCACAAGTGACGTGTTTTCAAGAATGTCTGGTTACAAGAGAGATGGATGCAAAGCCGAGACGGTTTACGTTACTCCGCCCAAAAACACTGCAATGAAAGAGAATAAACTCCTCAGCAAGCTTCCCGCAGACCATCCACACAACGTTCACTAAGTGAGCAACTACAGCAAGTCTGGTGATGGTTTTGTGTATGCCATCGATAAGAAGGTTAAATAGATGCAGAGATGTGACCTGGAGCTTCTTGTAGTTGTGTGCCATATCTTTGATTCATAGGACCCTTTGTGACATACATGTTCTGGGAGATTTGTTTTCGTTCTGATTAGGAACTGCCGAAACGGATTAGGAACTGAACCAATGGAGAAGAAGCTGATTTCAACTGATTTCACCTGAATCCACTGCAGATAAGTTTTTTGATGAAAGTAACCTTTTGTTATCATATTTTGGATATATATGCCATTTATTTATGGCCTCGATAAGAGGAGAAGACAAAGAAAAAGGCAAGAAAAAGGACATGAAAACGAAAAAGAACAATAACAAGAAAAGAAAGAAGAAAAGGTAACCACAGATTTGATGTGAAACATTTCAGTGGGGCTTTAGAATCCTTGTGTGATATTCGAAACTCTGGAGCTGGGTAAATGTAACTCTTTGGATATACATATATGTTATTTTCCTCATTGTTTAATACATACTCATACATGTTGTTGGGCATAATGTTAAAATAATACTGCTGCCACGTTAATATAATGTACTGTTGGCACGTTAATATGATGTACTGTTCACTTACGTTAATATAAGTCCAAGTGTTGTAAGGGGGTGGGGGTGTGGGGGTGGTGAGGCATTTTTTGGTCAGCCATTTTTTTTTATAACATCACATAAGTGTGACATTTGTGTGACCTAATCGACTGTTGAACCCTTAAGCCCCAGCCTCCTTTGGGAGTCCCCTTTCCGGCCCAGGTGTGTGTGACCTTCAGGTTCACCTTAGTGGTGTGTGACTATTATTCAATTATCTTATGAGTTTGCCGACTCAAGTGTTCACTCAGCAAAATCTTTTTTCAACGTAGAATTAATATCACACTATGCATATGAGGGCGAATTTAGCTGCTATGTATTAGGTCAAAGAATATCAGAGCACCTTTTGTTAAATCAAAGGTATCTCTAGCCAGTTTAAAATACGCTGTCATTTGCTACACAAGGAACAACTCCGAAGTTCTGAGTATATATTTTACATATATGTGAACAATAAATGATTGTAGCTGTTAGTAAATACAATTCATGCGCCATGTGGGCCCCGTATATGATATGCGCGTGAATGGGGCGCTGTCTATGCACTAACAGCACAATTGCTTGCTCGCTGAGCCGGGCCGTAACTGAAGAGACATGTGACAGCTGTGATTGGATGAAATAGTGTAAGGTGTTATGTTTGTTAAAAGCACCTCCATCCAGTCATTAAAACTGACCACCATTTTAAGTATTTAATGCTGTCATTTGTATCACTTATGCTTATGCGTGTACAGATATGTTCAAGTTGGTGACAGTTTGTGCGGACCTGAGGGGTTGATGTGTTCAGCTTCCTGTGTGTGGCTTCCTGTCTCGCAAAGTTAGCCGGTTCAAATTGACCAGAAATTGTTTTATTGTAATTTAAAGTTCAGACTGTAATCATGTGTACATGGAATGGTTGTTGATAAGTTTCAGCGTGATGGCGCACAGCCTACAATGAGTGTATAGTCACAAGTGGTCAGCTTCCGTTATGTAGGGAGAGAATTAAAGAGAGGAACACCACACAAAATGACTGTATTACCCAAATTTACTAACGTCAGCAAATACTCGTTTCATCCGGCGGCCATATGAACAACGTTTGAAATCTACGTATCATCTGGCCGTCAGATTTACACACGTTTAAAGGGGTGTTAAAATAAACGAACAGTCGGCTCTGCATTTACATGTATTTCACAGGTGTGTAAATCTGGCCATTGTTTCCATGTGTTTCCTAACATGTGTAACAGATGTAAATGCTGTGATTGTAGGACATGCATTTCAATACCCTTGAAATCTCGTATGACCAGGGTTAGGTTTGTCATATATTTTGTACATGCGTAAATGGTTGGAAATGAGTAATTATAGTGTTACAAGATTAGCACTACTTTAACATGTATTTCAATGGTGCTGTAATGTAACTGTCACATAGGGTTCGTTAGCGCGTCCGACCACGCCATAATGTACTGAGATAATTAGAAACACATGGTGAAGTGATACCCATGACTGAGCACCACTAATAACGTGCGTGTCTTTCTTGACATACACATGGTGTCTGTTTAAAAGGTTCAAATATCGGGTCTATGGGCCAGAGCGATATGTATGTTAGGGAGTGTGTGTGTGCGAGGGAGAGGGTGTGGGAGTGGTCGGTGTTGGGGTACTGATAAGTCTTTCTGACCAATAGGTAATATCATTTATACATTTTGTAATGGTATTTACATAACAGTTTAAATATCTGACCTTAGGTACACTTCTTATATATGCTATACAAGGAGACACTGCTAATTACAATAAAACACACAGACGAATGTGTTCACACAGACATGAACCGGTAGGTCCCTAATTTTAGTGCTCACTTGTATGAGTTATCCGACTGATCATAACTGAACAAATTTCATTATCTATACTTTCATAAAAGATGATTACAATGTATTAATGATTCCCGGTGTAAATTAATGTTGTAAATGTGTGAACATGCACATAGTTGGTATGACCTCTTTTTGATTCGGAATACAGGTATTATTCCATACGGACGTTTTCTGAAATTTCAGTTACCCGACGGAATATACTGTAGACATATTTTGTTTCCACCACTTGGGTAGACTATAGGAAATTGTAGTGATTGCAATTAGCTCATAACTAAGCAGTTTCGATAATTGTTGAAAGCTTACTACCTGACAGCATTATGTTGCTCATGCGTTTTCTTTTTTGCTTTTGCTTTTTGCTGTCTAATTTGTTATACATTATATAATTATGTTAATCATTTTGGTATCTCAATATCATGGAATATAATATGTACTTATTAATCTATCAAAGTACCGAAACGTATTATCTGTATGCTTTTCATTTTTTTATTGGGTGAAACTGTTAAAAGTACCTTCGTACAGAATTTCGTGGAAAGAGAAACAGAATCAGTGGAAAACTAAATTGGATAAAGATCGCAAACAATCATTATTTATATTCCACTTTTTAAATTATCAGTGTGCAGATCATGTCACTAACATACAAACTGAAGGATATATGGTGACAAAGCTGGGTTCAATCTTGAATGTATAATAAATGTACCAACAGTATCAAGGAATGATGGGGTACGCTCGTGGCTTAAAGCGTTCGCCCGTCAGGTCAAAACCGGAGTTTGATTCCCGACAAAGGCACATTACGACTGGAAATATATTATTTTGATAAAAGGCAAAGATCTTAATTTCAATTGAAAAAAAGAGACGAAGTAATTTGGAAGATTCACAGACTAACAACATCTATACTACCCATGAAAAGTTTAGACTCACTAGTGTAAATGTAGCCTCTTATTTCAGTCAACTGTTCTAAACTTGATTTTGCAAAATATTCAGTTCAGTTTAAGGGTACTGTTTACACATGAACTAATGCATTGTAAAACAAATTCGTAACGTTGAACGGATTATTGTCATGAGTTCAGTAAATGATGAAAATCAGTGAAAATTGGCGAATTCTTAAGAAAACTTTACACCAAAACGCAGCTGTTCACATGAACGATATTTGCACATGCTTTTTAGCAATTTGATGCATGATGCTCTTACAATTCATCTACATAAAGTTTGCAGTTGGCTCCCCCAAGTTAGTGGAGAAATTCATCTTCGATGTAACCATATGTATATGTATAACATATAGTGAGTGCTTTAGGTGAGTCTAAACTTTTGATGGGTAGTATATATTGGGGCTACAGGTGCAGGAAGCATCTTCAATTATAAAATCACATTCCACAAATATCAGGTAAAGGTTTAAATGACAAGCATATTTATTGGTATCTTGCCAAGCTCTGTCCTCTCTCAATGCAGTATAACCAGAGTGCTGTGGTCACTACCCCCGGTGGCCAAATTCAGCAATCCCATTACTTTACAGTATTTTTTTACAGGCATATATATGGAAAGTTAACTTTTACGGGTATGGAAAGAGTGGGGGGAAACACGTGCAAAGTATTAGTACGCTGATATTATCCTTCAAAAACATCATATGTACAACAATCACTTATCATTATGGCATTACAAAAAGGCCATATTTCCAAACAACATAACATCACCTTTGGCTGGAGTTCCAAATAATTTGACACCGAAAGCCTGTCAGTTAACGCAAAGGAAATAACCCTTGTGTTTTAAAGTGATAGTCACAATGAAGTGTAGGTTGCCGTGCATTTTATATTCTGTCTCACAGTCCCTGAACCACATTATTTTCCTTACTGTTTAGTCTGTCTCACAGTCCCTGAACCACATTATTTCCCCTACTGCCAAGCCCTCTGTGCAATGCTAAAGCCTTAAATGAAGCAAGTCTAGATCTCCTCAGGTCCAGGGTCTGTTAACATCTGCAAGAACCCTAACTCACTTTGGGGGTCGGGTTACAAAGTAAACATATCTATAGCTAACTGCCATGGCTCGCCGGACTGAATCTCGTCTCTCCCTGGGGCTCAATTTAAATGGGCTTGTTTGTTTCTATCAAAATTATATATATTCAGACACTAAGCGTTAGTCTATGTATTTTCCGATATGATGGAAATGCTAATATTGACCAGATAAAATTCTAAAGGAGCCTTTCTTCAAGCAGTGACTTAACGCCATACATAGCTAGAATTGCTTAGATGATAGACTTCATATAAGGCATCACAGATATTTCACAAACATGGTACAGGACCCTTAGCCTCATTAGCCTATTGCCTCACCACTTGCGAATTAAGCGTTGGCAGATGTAAATGTTACTCGAGATGTTGGTCCCGCCAGCTGTGGGTGTTTGGTATGGCTCTCCATAACCCGAACCCTGCAGTGAGTTTTCCTAGAGACGGAAAGGGAGAAAATATCGTTCTGTGACTATGGAAAACCAAAAATGTGGACAACACACCATTGTTTGGGTCTTTTAATTGTAAATATGATTCAAATAGCTTAACCTAGATTTCGATATCCTCCGAATGCACACGAAAATATACATTTATCCCGAGCCAAGGACGAATGTTTATATATAATTAAAAAATGTAACAGCACTAGTATCCATTTTGTCTTTTGTCTTCTACCCGTCAGAACTAGATTAACAACTAGTCTCTCTGATATGAACATATTTTACAGAAAAAAAAATTGATAGTAAAAGAATATTATATAAGGAAAAGGGCCCTGAGACTTTCTCCTGAAGCTGTGGAAATCTAGACTTGCCACATTTTGTAGACTTGCGTGGGCTTGGATATATTTGCTTCAGGGTCTGTATGACAGACGACGTCCCAACACACGCTCAATCACATGTGTCTCCAGGTCACGGAGAATCAGTGGTTAGAGGCCCGTATTGCAATTCTCGTGCTTTTGCCAGGCACGTAGAAACCAATTTTTCGTGTAAGTCCCATGGGCTGCAAAGCCTTATATTTAGGTGGTATTGAGGGCTTGCCCAACTTTCATATTTTATGAGACCTGAAGAGTTATCGTTTGACGTTTTGATG